CTCATCATCAACTCGTATATTTAAAGCCAAAATGCATTACGTAGAAGAGTAAAAATAAGAATCACAAGATTAAAACAAGCATATGAAGGCACTACCACTGGAAATATCAGCCAACCAATACACTTACTTGCCAACCAAAATTTTCCCAACACCGTTCCCTGCGGCAATTTTGATAATAATCTGCATTGTACATCCACAAAGATTATCACTAACAGGGGAAGTAGGATTTCTTTTTCTTTTTTTTTTTTTTTTTTTTTTTTTTTTGTGGAGAAGTAGGATTTCTAGAATCAACGGAAACAGAAGAAAGTAAAGCAAACACAAAAATTTTAATACAGGTTCGATTGTTTATGAAAATAAAGGATGAAACGTCGAAAAAGAACCTGCGCAGCTTCACGATTAAAGTAACGACCATCACCTCCTAACACTAATACCCCATTCTTGTAATCCTCAGACGGCAAAGAATCAAATAAAGCCTATACACCAGAAAAATCTAAATGACATTCAAAACCACAATGCAGTAAAAGCAAAGATGAATTCAATACCCTGAATAAGTGCAAGTATTCATACCTGAATCCAATTTGCAAGGTAATTTTCTTGCTGAAAAACTTTCACCTACAAATCGGATTATAATTTTCGGAAAAATAAGAATCAGCCTTCAATTATATATTTGATTTGCAAACACAATGTAGGAAAAAAAGGTGTTCAATTTAGCACCCTTCAGATTACAGAAAGTCCACTCAAATGAACAAAACGGCATCAAATATTCAATAACCAACCTTTTTTCGGAGACCACTGGTTCCAGTCTTCTGACCTTCAATTGGTTTGGTGGGAACCAAATTAATCTGAAATAAAAAGAAACCCCATTTGTTGAATCAACCCAGAATTCAAAACCAATACAGATTGACAGAGAAAAACACATTCATACATATATACACACACATAATGCAAGACACACATAGAAATTAATGTCTAATATACAACTGAGTCAGATACCTTGATGCCCTGTGGATCAGCAACCGTGGTTGGGGAAGAAGAGGAGGAGGAAGCGGCTCTAATAGTGAGGGAGTGTGAGGCTTTGAGTAGGAGGTGCGGAAGGGGAGAGGAGGAGAGGAGAGAGAGAGATTGGTTAGGAGGAGACAGAGTGGCCTTTGATGATGGTGGTGGTTTGGGTCTGAAGGTCGGGGAGAGAAGGTTGTGTAATCTGAGAGAAAGTGCCATTTTTCTTGAGTTTGTGTTGCAGAGGGTAGAGAGAGAGAGAGTGGAAGATGTTGGGGAAGATTTAAGTCTCTGAATGCTGACAGATTCAAACAAGTTTGGAAAATCCATGGTTGCCACATGTACGTTCGGAAACACTTATCTAGAGAGTTGTGTCATCATGTGAAGTTGAAGTGTGGAATTGCTTTTTCAGATTTTTTAATGTGCCGAGTATACGTTACAAATGTAATAATATAATTAGTTAAAAATTTATAAAAATTTTACAAATTTTATTATGAAACTTGGTTTACGAGTGGTATTCCAACACTGAAAAATTTCTCTTCCATGTTTTCTCAGGAAAATTTGATCACTTTTTCGAGTTATATATAATAGCGTCTCTAAGAGAAGTAGCAATTGGATAGAAAAATTAGATTTTTTTGTGCTATGTAAGAAAAACGCATTTCCAATCAAGGTAGCAACTCAAATAGTAAATTAAAGAATTCTCAATTGCTACTTTTTAAAGTTAGTAAATTGGATCACGGAATATATTTTATTCCATAAGATAAGATGAAATTAAGATATTAATATTTTAGATTGAAAGATAAAATTTTAAGAGTTAGATGTGAAGTGTAGGTTGGAATGACAAATTTTAGTATAAATGTGCCAATTGAGTTAGCGAAGTAACACTTTTAAAGAAAAGTTTTGGTAACTCTTTTAAAGATGCTCTAATATGTATATTTTAGGGATGCGATATTCACACACTCTTTTTAACATTTCAAACATTCTTCTAATTTTCGTCTGTCGGATCAGATGAATTGAAAAATATTAAATGACAGAAATTAACAAGAGGTTTATAAAAAGTAAAAATGAGTGTGTGAATAGCATATCCTATTTTATGGTACATAATGAATATGGAGGTGTAAATTTAATATTCAGGCTAAGGTATAAATGAAGGATGTAATCACTTTCACAGTTTTAGATTGTGACAGCCACTAGCATATACCCTTGTAGAAAGGATATTTCCGATTTGGAACCACAACAAAAATCAAGTTTTTTCGCCATTTACACTATATCTATTTTTCTGGACTTGTAAGTAAAATATTTTATATTTGAATCTCGTAAATGACGAGTTTAAAATTAATTGTTTCTTCACCTTTTTTGTATCCGCAGTTAAGATTGCAAAAATAAGAGCTTGATTACCACTTGTAAATAATCCGAGAAACATGGCAGGTATATGAACTACTGAAGGTACCAAAGAAACAAGAACAACTACTACTAATTCATTAGCTAAAATATTTCCAAAAAGTCAAAAACTAAGCGTTAACACTTAATATATCGTTGTTTTAAAGAAAAAAATTGGATAAAAGCTTTTTTAGTATTTCTAATGTCCAACAATAGGGATAAGGATCCTCTCCTGAGCAAATGGAGAGGATCTTCCTGACTGGGTCCATCGGGCCGTTCAAAATTTATCCAACGGCTACAATTATTATAACTTTTAGTGGAGCCTCCTATTTGTAGCCGTTGGATAAATTTTGAACGGCCCGATGGGCCCGGTCAGGAGGATCCTCTCCATTTGCTCAGGAGAGATCCTGATCCCAACAATAGGATGCAAGGTCTAAAACACAAGTAACCTATGGGTCTAGAGACAAGTCTTCCAAAGCAAATGGCCCAAATTGGTGTGGAGGGGTATCCAGCATCCAGCAACTCGAATCAAGGGCCAATACATCGGAAGCCAAGTTATTAGTCACGTAACAGAAGGCCTCAAAATTTCAATCAAGACCAAGGTAATGTTTACATTATGTGACTGGAAAAAGGGTACTCATTCGAAATATAGTAAGTGTACCTATTGATACCGAAATTGCATTGTAGAAAAGAACGTAGGCAGAACATACCCAAGAAATCTAACAAAATCGAGTTGGGCTGGCTATTAGTTATGAAATTACTTTATTGTCATTCACTCGTTACAAAGTCAGCAAAGCTTTTTCTATTTTTAAATATCGAGTTTAAAATGTTTTATTTTTGTGGTGTAATTTGATTAATTAATTCTATGTAAAAAAGAATTAAGAACAAGCATATACGGATACATTATCCTTGTGGTGATAAAGTAATCGGAAGATTGTTACCATGATAAAAAAATAATAAAAAATTAGGCTTTAAACTTTGGTGGTGTAGTCTGTTAGCAAATTTACTCTAATTGTGAGATTTCAGTTACATATTTAGGATAAAAATATATTTTACCTTACTCTTTCTATCTTTTCACATCTCTCTTCATCTCTCTGTAATTTATATCTTCACCTTCTTTCTATCCTATTTGTCTATCTCCAACCATTTTCGTGGGTTTTCTAACCGGCCAATTCCCAACCTTGATACAGCCAAATTTCCTACTTTTTCATCCAAAATAAATATTTGAAACAAATAGGGAACAAATAAATTTTTTTTATAAATATTATTATTATTAAGGGGAGGGAGGGTTTCAAAACTATTACAATAATTTGAGAGGAAGTTTTGAACCCGGAACTGATGATGGTAGGTATAAACCAAACACCATATCCATTAAGATATTAGACTATATGCAGAGTATAGGAAACAATTAGATTCAAGTTAGATTGGACTCTAACCAATCTGATGTATGCATACAAAACTCGAAAGGCACGATTTCTAAATATTTCGACGAATCCAGACCTCGTAGTTGGATACACATGTGAAGCTAATAAGGTTCGTAGAAAATCAAAGGGATATGAGCCGATGTAAGAAAAATAAGGACTCGCAATCAAAAGGAACACAAATTGGAGTGTGCTTGAGATTTTCTGTCACCACGAGATTGAAGAAAGTGCATATACAAAGAGAGAGTAGAGAGACAAGAAAGAAGAAGGTGCACAGTTAAAGTACATTTTTTACCTTTGCATTTATCAGATATTTAATAGAAAAATTGCTTTTGACTAAATTTGCTGACAAACTATACTATAAGAGTTTAAATCCTTATTGTTTACCACCGGAGCAATTTTCCGATTACCTTATTATTATGATGACTGTTTATTCTATTAGGCCTTAGAAATAAACACACATGATTCATACTGACATTTTAAACCTTAATTTAGCCACCACTTAAAGCTTGTACAAAAAGAATTGCCACTAATGGAAGAAAAAGTTAACATATAAGCAATTAACAATGAAACTAATGCTCAGTTGCCCACAGGCCAAAATGCAAAACTTCTCGTGCGGTCAACCATTTAGGATACTACGTGTCGAGATCCTGCTGCAGGGTGTTAAAGTAAATTAGGTTCGACTTCACCAGTATTACTGTACACTAGGGTTGCCGTTGACGGCCTTACAGGGTGTTAAAATAAATTAGGTTCGGCTTTACCAGTAATACTGTACAATAGGGTTGCCGGTGATGGCCCTGGAGCCACACCTGACCACTCCCTTTTGGGATACAGTAAAATTGTACAATGGTAGGCCATTTTTACACTGTTCTAGCACTGAGAAATGCAAAAGCCCATGTACAGAGTCCGACGCGTGTCCTTTAATTTGTCATCATTCTCCTCTCTCACTAACTCTCACTTTCTCGGTCTCTCATAAAAGGCAGATTGTCTGCCCTCTTTTTACCATATCTTTTTCTATCTTCTTTTGTAGTGTGCGGTCACGATTAAGTCATATCAATTTTTTATATTAATTTTTTTATAAAGATAATAAGACAAAAAGCAATAAGAATATAAAATGTTAACGTGATTTAACTGTAACCGTACAAATAAAAGAGAAGAAGAGTATAGTATCTGCCTCCCTCATAAAGTGACCACAAATTATAATGGCAATTAACAAAGTTTGGTTTCTTATAGTCTCTGGTTTTGCTGGTGTTATTGCATTGTACTACTAGTTTTACAGAGAGAGAGAGAGAGAGAGAGAGAGAGAATGGGGAGAGGGAGAGTGGTTATGGAGAGAATAAAGAACAATATCAACCGTCAGGTGACCTTCACAAAACGCAGGAACGGTCTGCGCAAGAAAGCTCATGAGCTCTCTGTGCTTTGTGATGCCCAAGTTGCAGTTATCATCTACTCCAGCCGTGGGAAGCTCTATGAGTTCTGCAGCACCGAGTTATATCCTCCCTCCCTCCCTCCGTCTCTCTCTCTCTCTCTCTCTCTCTCTCTCTCTCGATTTATTATATGTATATGTTATTAAGGGTTTCCTTGTTCTAAACTTTTTATAAAAAAAACCCTAAAAATGTGGGTTTGTTTTAATTTCTTCAATTCCTAAAATTTATCACATACACATATATGTTATATGTATATATGTATGTAAGTAATTACCAAACATAGAGAAGTGATGCATAGGAAGAAACTCGATCCATATATATTTGTTTGTTTGTAATTTGTTTGCTTATAATATAAATATTACATTATAAGTCATCGTATAATTGGTTTGCTTTTTGGTTAACATATGTAAATTCTACATATGAACTATATTATTTCTTTCTTCTTATTGGATTTGTGGGGAGACTTCGTATAGAGGGCCTGTATGCTTCTCCGATGCATCTTAACGTGTACTTGTATTTCTCTGACTGTAGGTACTGTTGATCGTCCTGGGTTTTTTTTCTATTTATTTTTATTTTTGAGTCTTTGTCTATGCTCTCAGGTCTTTCTTTTGGGAATTTATATCTAGGGTTTGTCTCTCTCTATTTCTAAGCTTCAAGACATAAAAACGCTGAGAGAAAGAGAGAGGAATTCAAGAATCAAGAGTGTTTCCTATTATTTGTTTCAATATTAATGTTATGGTTTTAGCAGCTCAAGTTCTGTTAATTAATTACCTTTTTTCTAATTTAATTTCTTGCAGGAATAATAAAGAGTGTTTCCTTTTTTTTTATACATAAACATGTAGATGAATGTGTGTGTGTGTGTGTAAGTTTTCAAAAAAAAATTGTGGGTGGTTGCTACTAACATCATGGTCAAACTGGTTGATTAAGTTAGCAAAAATTCCTTAAAATGCCTTTAATTAATTAATTTTTTAAATTGAACATCATTGATCATAATCGCTCCTCCAACTACAAATATAATACGGTAGAACCTCAATAATCTAATACCAGATAAATTAACAACCTCTATTAATTAATATTTTCTGTTGGCCCCGACTTGGGAAGAACATGCTAAATTGAAAATTCGCTAAAGTTATAAGATAGTACATCATAAAAAAAATTCATACTCACGTAATATATAAATTAATAATTTTTCTATTACTATGACTTTTGTTTGTTTAAATAGATTTTTGCTCGATTAAATGTTCATAAAATACAATAATATATTACATCAAACAATTTAAAATCTATTTCTGGGGAAAACAAGTTGATTCATGAATTTTATTTGGTTAAATAAATAAATAGAATTGATAGTTCGTAAACGTGAAACAAAATACAAAGTACAATATTGCTGAAAATACGAGATGTCTTGATTAATTCGTATTAATTTATCAATTATTTAATATTGAGCTAAATTAATAAATTTCCTTGGTCCCATAGGTAATAACTTATAGAAGTTTAATTTTATGCGGAACCAATTATGTATTTATCGAAATTTATTATGTATTTTCTCCCATTTAGCTAATGGGAGAAAGTAAATTTGTTTAGCTAATGGCACGCATAGTAGACTGGTAAGTGCGTAATATGTGTAGCTAATGGAAGAAAGTAAATTTGTAAAAGTGTGATAAAACTCAACATCTAAATCTTTCCCTATGAGGAAAAATTCCTCAGTTTTTCTCTTAACAGCTGAAGTTTCATAGCGTGCGCACGCACATCAATTGATCTATTCAATCTGATTTCATCTTTCATCCCGCACTCAGTTTTCTGTATCTGTAGTTATATATTGCCTCTAATTTATAAGTATAAAATGTTTGACTGTTTTCCTTCTTTGATCAGCATGAACAAAATCCTTGAGCAGTACCGTCAAAGTTGCTATTCCTCACAGGACAATGTTGCTGAGAACGAAACACAGGTGACATTTCATAATTTCCGAGCTTTATCACAATTCTATTTGCATTTCTGTGTTTGCATGTGCTGGTGGTGGTATGAGCGTCTACTGACTGAGTTATACAGCCTATATGTTCAATCGGCCTTGTTTGCTTTATCGGTTTGTTTATCGTTTCTTCATCTCTTTCACTTCACCTTTTTTTGGGTGTCTCTAGTTCTAGTTGGGAAAAATAGTCAGTTTTCATTGCGGTTTCTTTCTGTTTTTTATTTGGTAGAGTTTTTCAAGTTGTTTCGGAAGAAAAAAGGAAAAAGGAATTGGTTGGACAAACGTGGTCAACTCATGCTTGATTTAGGATGGTAGTCAACTGCGGAAACAGACGGTGGTACTTGGTTTTGACAGACATTGGGCGCGTGTGCCTGGTCTAGGATGGATGTCAACCCGTGTCATCTTCAATTAAGTGAATTAACACTAGTTTGTTTATTGGTTTGAAATTGGCATTGTCAAATTTTTATTTTATTTTTGAAAGTGCACAATAGGGTGGGCATATGGGTCTTTAGACCCGTGGATCTAGACCATATTATCTGGCCCGATGTAAAGTCATCTAGTTCTTACTTTTAATTTCAAAACGATCTGAGTTAGACTCCGTTTGTCTAAAAACAAGTTCATATTTTTTATGTATGGTTAACCCGGCTTGGACCATTTTAGGGTTGTCTTAGCACTTGTCATTTTATTAGTGATCCACAAAGAAGTTCATGATCCATAATTTTATATCTATCTAACCCTATGAAGTAAAACAATAATCGAACTTCTTCAAACAAAGAGTCTTAAGAGTCCCTTTAGAACATTTATTGGTATTAACTTTGTTAGACGTAATTCTTTTGTAATGGAAACACATAAATATTGTTTTATATTGTTGTTTTGTTATACGACATATGATTGAAAATAGATTCGTTCGACTTGTAGGAGTCTGATCATACCAAATGGATCTAATTGAGCCAATTTCACTAACAAAAATACATAGCCCATAATGACTCGAACTCGTTACAAAAAAAAAAAATTAAATAAAATCAAGTCCAATCTACCCAAAATGAACCCAACTTGACCCGCACCCAGCCCTAATTCACTTTCACATAATTGGAATTTAGCATTGGCATCAACATTGGTTCCGATGGATTTTACATTGGAACTGGCCTTGGAACTCATCATTAATTTTCTCCTTGGCAAAAACATGAGTTTGACGGGTGTTGAAAACTTATGTTGTGCTTTGAGATTGGGATATGGAAATGAAAATATTCTTTTGTGTGGTTGAGTTCGACTCTCGTATGTACCAGCAAGGGTGGCAAAAGTGAAATTATAGGAATGGTATGAAGTAGTGGGGATCTTGGCCACCAAGAGAAGAACAATATGACTAACAAAAGGGGAACTAGGATGATTGAGTTACGGGGTTAGCTTGTATAATAGAGCATACATACCACCGCTGCAGTGATAAAATGCGGTATGAGACATGCAAGTCTGCGTGTTTTATTATATAAATTAACGGGTTGGGTAATTGAAGTTAAGCTCCATTCATGGTTTATTAGTTAAATTGTGATTAATGATAAACATGTTATAATTGATTACTTTTTTCATGACACTCGGTTTAGCCCTGATAATAATTCTTGATAACATTTATGTCCCTATTGAGTTGTGGCTTCGCTGACCTTATACATTGTAGACCTTGCATGTTCGATACAAAATTAACAAAGGGTAGACAAGCTAAGGTTGTGTTAGACGAGATATTTAAGAGTTTTTTTTATTATTTTTGTACACCCTATATGGATTTTGGAGTTATTTGAAAAAGAGAAGTTTAGTTTTTCTTTTTATTTTATTTTTACTCACGCGCCGAGGGTGGGATTAATTTTTCCACCGACCCTAGGACTAGGGTGTGACAACATACTTGCCATTTGAAATTTTCATTAAACAAGCACTATTCACTATCCTTGGATTGAAAAAAAAATACTTTTTTGGAAGCATGGTAAACTTTGCTTCTATTTTTTATGTTTTTATACTGTCATTAACAGCAATTTTTTAAATAAACTTTTTTTTTTGTTTTACCAACCATATTTAATGTTTCAAATTTTTTAATAAGCTATTTTTTTTTTCAAAAAACTTATTAAGGACTGAAGCTTGATCCTACTGCACACTATCAGTAGCTAGTGCTCCTTTTTGTTGTAGTGTTGTTGAATGAGAGGCATTCTTTTCTTGATGTGATGAATATTTTCTTAATCGACTTTTTTAATGCAGAACATATGCCAAGAGGTCTCAAGATTAAAGGTCAAACACGAGTCTCTTCAACGTTCACAGAGGTATATATAAAATATAATAATTCACTTATTAATCAATCATATGATTTTTCTTTTGTGCCATTTTATCAAACATACAATCAATTCTTAGTCTCACATATTTAGGCATTTGCTTGGAGAAGATCTGCAACAGCTTCGCCTTAAAGAACTGCTTGTTCTTGAGAAACGACTTGACAGAACTCTCTCAAAAGCTAGACAAGAAAAGGTGTACACACACGCACACAGAGACAAAACTAGCTCATGTTTCTTAATTTGCAGTCTCTCACATGTTATATATGTTTATAATTAAAGATTCAGAAGTATTTTACCTGATTGATCATGGCATCTCGATTGCCTTCATCGACCAATGGCTGATCACTCGCAAAAATTACCATCTAGCTAGAAGGACGGAAAATGATAATATTTTCAAAGTTAATTCTTTTGAAGGGTAAAGACACCTTTAAATTTTTTACCAAGAATTAAAAAGAAGTGTAGAATGTTGAGAATATGAATCTCACATCGAGAAAAAAGAGAGACCAAGCATGTACTTATAAGTAGTTGAACTATTTCCTATTTGTCAATTAGTTTTATAGTGAAATCTCAAATTTCTTTTTACAATGATCACACTATATAATTACGAGTATAATATGTTTCACAATCAACAAGTGTCATAAATTATGTGTATCGTACATTATTGATTTTTCTTCTGTGTTTCTTGATCAACTCCATATATAGACCCTATTCTGTATTGATCTTGATTAAGCTATACATATAAGCATCACCTTATATTTTATATTGTTATTGTTTCAACATTACCTTTTTTTTATCCTTCTGCTTTTGTATATGTAGACGCGGATGATGTTTAATCAACTAGAAGAACTGCGCACAAAGGTAAAAGTATATATGTATTGCTAGCATATACCATGCATCCCAGGGTCTTCCTATCATATGCGATTTTGTGTCCCTGATCCCTAATCATGTTGAAGTTGATTTTTTAACATTATTACGATTAAATATTTCTTCTCGTTCTTCTGTCTTGAAATTTGGTCAAAACTACGTGCATGCAATTCCTTAAAGTGGACTAGATATGTTCGACGTACTTTACAAGTTTAGAAGGGCGATGAAAGGTTTAAACATTTGTTAGAACAATAATAACGTTATTTAGGTACACAAAACTCGTCACATTGATAAGATATACTTTAACATAAATGTAAATTTGTGGATACATTTCAAAATGAGAGTGTACCTACAAGAAAACAATTCTAATATAAGTGCTAAGAGATGTGATTCTATTTATAAGCGGGTTTTCTAGTAGTGTAAAGAATCGGTTATACAATAGAAAATCTTCTAATATGAACGAGGCCATTATATGTTGGACGAGTTACCTCAACAAAATTACGTGAAAACTTCCTCTCATTTTTCTCCCATTCTAGCTAATAACTAGTTGACGTGGTATGATAATTTTTTTGAATAAATTGATAGGAGAACGATTTTGCAGGGGTTAATAAACAGCTTAAACGTGAGGTACTTTATAGTGTATATTCTTGAATTTCTTTCCCCCACCATCTAATGGCTTTTGAAGGTCCTACTTTTTGGATCCACATCTAATGGCTACTTTTTTCTATTTTTGGTGTATGGAATATTGTTGAAATTCTAGCTTCAAGAAGTAGGACCTTCAAATGCCAATCACGTTGCATGTGAAGAACCTACCTTACAATTACACATATGGTAAGCATTTCCTTATTTCCAGTTAATTGCACAAACCTTTTAATTAATATCTTTAATTAGGATATAGGATTTTGGTTGTTTTTAACTGCATGGCTTAAATGCGGATTATACTAATGTGATTTTTTTTTCTCATTGTTTGTGTGGTTTTGTTCACTTTAGTTTTGCATTTTCGATTTGCTACTATTGCATCTATGTTTGATATTTTGTACATCTTTGATATATACTGTTGAATTTTATTTAATAAATACGTAGTTGATTTGGTAAAAAAAATGTTGATGATGCTTGAACGTACCATAAAAATGGATGTAGAGAACATGGATGTGTACCAGTTCCCCAAGAAAAAGGAAACTACTGATCAAGGGTGGGAGGGAGCAGCTGCAACAGTGTGGGCTTTATTTGATTGCTTGTACGAGTACTACTAAGATGTGTTCAGCTCATCGATGTCTAAAACTCTTAATTACTACTAAGATATGTTCAGCTCATCGATGTCTAAAACTCTTAATTACTACTAAGATATGGATGTCTGGAACTCTTAATTACTACTAAGATATGTTCAGCTCATCGATGTCTGCGAACCCTTAATTATGACTAAGTTGCAGGTGACTAATAATTGTGATTTTCTTTTGTTTTCTTGCACAAAAGAAGAATTTTTAATAGAAAAACTAATGAAAAGTGTTTGAAAATTTGAGTTTTAACGATAAAGATAAAATAAAGGGTAAAGTGAATAGTAATAGGATTAACTTTTTAGTGTAAAACTATGATTTTTCGTTAAAATAAACAGTACCGGAAACTTTTCTTTAAAATTCTTATTTTTAATACCTAAAAAGATTTATCCGTAGATATTTTTAAGCATATGATTAATTAGGTACATGTTCTTTTCTCTTTTTTTTATCGAAAAGTAACATTCATTAATCTGAAATTAGGTACATTTTCTATATGCAGATTCTTACATCCCTTCATTGACATCGACACCCCCTTAGGCTATTTTCAACCGAATGAGTACCAAAGGGATTTCTTTAACCCTAAAGTCATGTAAGAAATTATATTTTAATAAACAGTGTCATGTCATATTTTATATTATCTCTAACCTAGGAGGCTAAAGGGTCATAGGCCAAACATAACACATTGACAAAAAATCATCTTCAACCGAGGGGGCAAAATAGTCATAGGCCAAACATAATTTATTATTTTAATTGAATTAATATGATTACTTAAATTAAACTATCTATTAAAATAACATTTTCAGACACATTTTGAGTGTCATTTGTCGCCAAATGAATAAACCTTCGGATTTCTTATCTTTGTATAATCTCAATAATTTTTTGGATAGGATTTTGAGTGACACATGTCGCTAACGTGAATAACTCTTCAGATTTCTTATCTTTATGTAATGTAAATAATTTTTCAGATAAGATTTCGAGTGCCACGCGTCGAGATGTAATTGGTTGTGTAAATTTTAGATAGGATTCTTATCTATGTGACATTTCTTATCTTTAGCTTTCAATGCTGATAAATTGGCTGGATATTGGGGTACAATTCACACACCTTCATCTTTGCCCTCTCTAATATCTCTCTCAATTCAAGTTTGCAATGAATTCCAACTTTGGATCCTCTTCGCATTCCAACTGGGGTCCTCATCCAATTCTGAATTGGAAGATAAATGGGTGTAGATGAGACGAGAAGATGAGAAGTACGATGAAGAAAATGAAGCATGACGCAAACACAACATATATGGCAGCAATGGCTGGAGTCATGGCGTATGAGGAAACTGAAGAACAACCTTGATGCGGTGGCTATGTTGCTGGTCACTATGAGGCTTCATGTCTTCAAGCATTTACTTCATGATGTCCAACATGGCAATCCATACTTTTGATAGAAGATGGATAGAGCAGGCCGCACTGGTTTCTCACCTCATCAAAAAGTTACTATTGCACTCTAAATGCTGGCATATGCCTCCCCAGCTGATGCAATGGATGATACATATGGTATGTCTGAGTCTACATGCCTTGATAATCTTGCTGAATTTTGTCACACAGTTGTTCAAATTTACAAAGAGAAGTATCTCGGTGAACTAAATCAAGCAGATATGGCTCGGCTCTTTCGAAAAGCTGAAGATCGTGGCTTTCCGGGCATGATAGGGTTATTAGATTGCATGCATTAGCAGTGGAAGAACTATCCCACCGGATGGCAAAGAGGATTTAGCTGAAGATTAAGAAAGTAGGTGGTTGCCTTGTTTGACACATGAATTTGAAATGCTTTCTTTGGAGTCTTAATCTCCCAAAATGACACTACAATACTCGGCGTTCACTCCTCTTTAATAACCTGACGACTGGTAAATCACCTCAACTTAATTACTACATCAACGTGCGTCAGTCCAAATGGAGTATTACTTGGCAGATGACATCTACCCAAAGTGAGCGACACTTGTCCAAGAAATTGCAAATTGTGTGGATGATGCCTAAATGTGATTTACCTTACACCAAGAGGCATACCAGAAAGATGTTGAGAGAACTTTCGATATTCTATAAGCATGGTGGAATATCATTAAGGAACTGGCAAAAGGTGGAGTCGAGATAAATTGAACTTCATCATGATGTCGTGCATCATATTACACAACATGATTGTAGAGGATAAGCGAGATAACTATATTGATGGAGAGTTTGATGACAACCAAGATGATCCAAATAGGTCAAGGAGGGCTCGTGAGAAAATATATGATGGGCCTAATTTGCCTTTAGATCTAAGAACTGGTAATATCTCTTTAAATAAGTACATGAGGCGTCATAGGATGATACGTTTACGTGCCACAAACAAGTACCTACAACAAGATCTTGTTGCACATCCTTGGGCCAAAAGAACCATGGAGTAGGCGTTTAAGTTTTATGTTGTTAAATGTTTTGTTTAATGTTGTTTAAGTTTCATGTTGTTTAAGTTTGAATAACTCCCCCAAGTAGTACTAGAGTGGAGATTGTGTTGTTTAATGTTGTTTAATTTAAAGAGTACAAAAACTTAAATTTAAAAACTACAACTTAAATATTAAAGACTACAACAACTTCAATTTCAAGACTATAATCATCATTTTCATCCGCCATTGTAGGAGTATAGTCGGATGTAAACAACTTTCGTCAGGCCATAATTTCTCTTTTTTCCTTACAAAATATGCCTTACTCTTTGAAGTGTACTCCGAAGTGTTCCTTTGCATGTTTCTATCATTCATCTCTTCTTGTATTTGTTTTGCCTGTTCTTCATGCCTACACTTCTTTTCTTCTGCGGCAAGGGCATTTTGCTTTGCCATTAATCGCAATGAGGACGCCATTTCTCTCGAAAGGCTAAATCATCATTTGCCTTGCCTCTTTCCTTCAATTTTCGGACCTTGTTTCGTCACGTAACCCTAGGTATGGAAGATTCACCCGGAGACGGATTTTCTACCCTTGTTTCTTGAATGATAGGAGATCCTTGTTCGTCCCCAACTGCATTTGACGAAACATTTCCGAACACCGATGTAGGACCAAATCTTTCTTGAGGTGGATCTTGAAATAACACCCATACTTTACAAATTTCCCAACAATCGTGATGCCTTCGCTTGGCGTACCTAGAAAATATAATTACAAAAATTAAAGGAAATTAATTTATGAAATTAAATGTGATATAATTAAATATTTAAAATAACTTGTGAAAACACTTATTTTGTCGTAGTAATTAGCTCCACTTTCATGTTTGCTTTGGGCGTTTAACATTGCTTGATGCCATTTATTCAAACTTGGTTGAAGATGTTTTTTCCATTTTGAAGAACAACTCTCGTGGTTTCGGGGATTCAGTGGAGTGGTGTCTTTGTAGAACTCATAGTATTTTTTAGACGTACGAGCCTAAACATTCACTTGTTTGAGAACTTCCCTTGACATTATCTTCTGAGACCCATCTATTAGCCCTGCAAAGAGCTTCATCTTCTTTTCGGGTCCAAGCCATTCCTTTGATTGCAGATGTGGTCATTTGAAAATTATTGAAAAAATTGAAGGAAAGATTATTGGAAGAGGTAAGAGAATAGAATGTGAAGAATTGAAATAAAATGAGGTAAGATAGTATGGAATGGTGAAAATTATGTGAGAAATGGTGTAGGAATGACTTAGGCATTTATAGAAAAAAAATTAGAAATTAAAAAAAAATTGTCTGAAAAGTTACCATTGCTTTTGAATTGTTAGAAGGTTGGCCAGCTGGATAAGGTCGGCTCGCTGGCCTGATTTCAGTTTTTTGGCCCAGTGAAGCCCAAAAGCCTTTTGACTTAGCCCTCGGTTAGAGATTGTTTTCGTGTCATTTCAAGCTAATTTTAGCCCCTTGGCCAGGTCGGTTAGAAATGACCTTATTCAATTGGAAATATTAGATAATGACATAATGTAACATGATATGTTGGTTTAGTCGCATTCACTATATTATTAAATTGTGATAATATTAAGACTTATTGTGGGTGTACTAATTCCGCTGTAATATAAAACAAACTTGACATCAAATATGAGTAAAAATTATTCACATTGCAAACAAATTTGCTATTCATAAAACAATTTAAAAACTGAAAATTTTGAAACTAAGAAATGATTCCCACTTTGAGATTGAGAAATGTTTTCAAAAAGATACTTTCCCAAGTTCCGTATTTAAAATCGTATTGGCTTTCGACCAAGGGCATGCATGCTGCCAAGAGGATTGTGCTTTTGGATTGGCTTTGGTCAGAAACCAACGGATAAGGACATCGACAAACATAATTCTTGCTTCTCTGGCTAATTCGCTATCTGCAGTGTTTAATATCCTAACTTGTCATTTGGTTTAAGATGTTGAATATATACCAAGTTCTTTTGTGACTAAATTATGAATTTATGTTATAGTTTGATAAATTTATAATATTAAGAAATTCATGTCCACGAGATTATAGTTTAGCCAATAATTTCTCAAACGAAAGTGATAGAATTAACTAACTAAAGTGTTTAAACAAGATGATTTAGATTTTTGGTGCAGGTAAATTACACGATAATGGTCATGGAAAACTGAAATGTCTATGTGAGTTTTTTTCATCAAATCCCAAAAAAGTGGACTATCTTGACTTTGTCACCAGATAGTCTCCTTTAAACAAAAGTGTTTAAACAAGATGGGTACCAAATGTACCTATCACATCCCGGCCCGGGGTCTACCACATCTCGGGCCCGCTCCACCACCGTAGCACGATATTGGACCCCGACCACGCCCTCACGGTTTTGTTTCTGGGAACTTGCACGAGAACTTCCCAGTGGGTCACCCATCATGGGATTGCTCTCGCACGTTACTCGCTTAACTTCGAAGTTCCGATGAAATCTGAAACCAGTGAGTTCCCAAAAGGCCTCGTGCTAGGTAGAGATGAGAATATACATTTAAGGATCACTCCCCTGGGCGATGTGGGATGTCACAATCCACCCCCCTAGGGGCCCGACGTCCTCGTCGGCACACTTCCGGTCAGGGATTGGCTCTGATACCATTTGTCACATCTCGGCCCGAGTCCACCACATCCCGGGCCCATTCCACCACCGTAGCATGATATT